TCCCATTTAGTAGACATTACCGTATTGTTTGCCAACTGATCCCTCGTTTCAAATCAGAGTAATTCAAATGATTGTTTATGAACATACACGTTGCAAGCCAGTCGGTTGAATTAAATTCATAAGGGATATTCCAGCCGAGTGCGCCAAACTTCCGCCTTTCTTGCACAACAGTGTGTAAAAACGAAATTGCATAAACCAGGGGAATGTATTGTGGGACATCACACTGATCGAGCATTTCTTGATTCATATTACAGTACGTAGCGTATAAGCCAGCACGAACGCCTGCGTATATAAACTGTTTATTATTTCTCTACGTTTCATTCACGTATTTGCAAAATTCAATTAAAATCATTTGCTGTCTTCAAGATTTGAATATTTTGTAGTGGCCGGATAATGGAGATAATTGGAGAAGCCACGCGTTTTTGAGATCAAGGAAAAAATAAGAGGATCTCACCTTCATGAGGAGGATTGGATATCCTGTCATGAGCTAATTCATCAGCTTTTCATGAATTACAAAACGGATTGCGCGCTTGTTGGAGTTGTGAGAATTTTCCGGTTAATGATGTAGCCTAGATTATTGCATTAACATTATGGAGTAACATAATTATGAACAAAGTACGAGTCAGTATTGTATTAGAAAATACGTTTATGTTGCAATGAGAATGGAGGCAAGTATTTCATTATTTCGAATATAAATAAAGACACCAGACTCATCCACGGTTTACTAATGTCCTTACGTAATGTCATCTGTACGGTACAGTGTAAGATCCACAGCCGCATGCGTAGGATGAGATAGCGCCAATTAGCCAGAACAGGGTAGAAAGGGGCGGAATATTTGACAAAAAAATTACAAAATACTAGTCAGGAGAATAAGTCGACATGAATCTAAGATAATAAAGTCAACGTTTATAATCAGTCGGTAACCCAACCAGTGAATTGCTAAGTCAGAATTTAGATGGTAAAAGGACCGTAAACAAACGCCGACAGTAATCGAAAGGGTTATCGGCAGAACACAAATCTCAAGTATCGACAGACACTGTGAATCCGGCCTCAATGCATATAACGTAGAAATTAAATACAACGTACAATCCAAGACGAAACTAGTGGCTTCACAGGCCACAATATATGACAAGTTGAAATCTTGAGGGAATAAAACATCAATAACCTCGAAATTCCAACGTCGCGAATACAAAAGAAAATCGATATTTCATGCGACAATAGAACGAAGCAAATAAATCAGAGAGAGAAGACTCGAAATCATAATTTTAACAAGAACCACAGATTTTTTAAAGAAAAGAAATTCGGAACATAACCACGAGTTAAAAAAATCGTACATTCATTAAAATTCTAATAACTCTACCACACAAGTCTAGATGAATCAAGAACCGTGAATACTCGAAACTGGCATTATTCCCCATGAACGATAATTTCTGAATAAATGAATGCAGGAACTTGCCGAAGCCTTGGACCTAAAACATATGTTGATACCACTTTATCATGCTCAGGCGAACCCACTGGAAAGGCTTAACCGTGTTTTGAAGAACATGGTTATCTGTTCTATAGGTCAAGATCATAGGGAGTAGGAGGAACACTTGCCAAAATTTCGGTTAGCACATAATACTGCGTGCCGTAGTACAACACATGTTTTACCTGCGTTCTTGAATTGCGAGAAACAACCAATGTCTTCATTATTCGTTCGTAAGTTAGCGAAAGGAGATGAACTCATTGTCGTTTGGATAACTAAGCGTTGGCTTAGGCGAATGTAAATAATGGTGGAACTGCATTATTGATTTATTGACAATTTGAATAAATCATTTGAACAACAATCCAGATACTATAATACGCATCACCGTGATGTCCGTTTTCAGGTCAGTGACAGAATTAGGCATAAAATTCGTCATTTATCAAATGCGGCGAAGCTCTTTAGGAAGCATTCGTGTGGTGTTTCACATTTCGTATGTTGTATCGCCGCTTGCATATGAAATAGTGAACGATCCAGGTGTCGTCATTGGACGTCATCATGCTCTGGATCTATTAGAAGCGCGTGATAATGCTGACGATGTTATTAATTTGTCACACAATGATGAATAATTCCTGAATTTTGTTTATCGTTGTATTTTGAATTTGATTTTAACGATTCCAATCCGACTGTCTAAGGATTACCATTTTCATATTCTGCTATCTTTTCTTCCGAACTACTGAGTTGGTGCGATTTTCGCGATATCGGTTTTAGCGTCCTCGTGAAGCATGTTTGTGTCCGCATCAAGATTGGATTTTAACTGCTTCCAACATTGAAAGGGAATTAAAGCTTATTTACCCTTTCGGTTGGGAAAATTTTTACTTTGCATTAATTAACATGGTAATAAATTTCCGGAATGAAGGTCTTCAGATAATTAAAAGCTTTGTACGTGATTATTCCCTTGTAATCAATTTTTAAATCATTGGCGAAACACGTAAGGACGATTTTGGAGTAATTTTCATTCCTCGCTTTTTTGGCTCATTACCCCAATTACCCCGGTAACCTTGTGCCCATCTAAGATCCACTCCTCCCTGGACTACCCTCATACTGATCGAACCCAGGACCGTCACTTTTCCCGAGAGCCTAGAGGCCCTTCCTGTGTCCTTCCGGCATTTTCGTTTCCTTAGATTTTAGTGAGGAT